AGCTTCTGCTGCTCTGCCTCCCTGCCCTGCTTCCAGGATGCTCATTTTAGTTTTCACTGGCCAGCCAGAATCAGCTTCCAAAATCCAGGACTGTCCTGGCCACAGTGGGACATATGGTCACCCTAAAGATAGAGTCCCTTTGTGATGGTCTGAATTCAGTGCAGGACAACTCACTGATTGAGGTCATTAATAAGAACATGAGAACTACTATTTACTGGGTCAGAGTCCATCTTGCTCACTATCCTGTGTCACACAGAGACAGAGTGTGGATGCTAAAAGAGAATGTGAACTGGATAACCAGGGAATTTTTCACTGTTCCACTCTCACGTGCAGCCTCCAGAATTTAAGGTCTATGAAGTTCTGGTTCAGAGACTGTACCCCTAACTCCCATGCTCAATAGCTACTGATGCTGCTTTCCTCCAAAAAATGTCCAGTCCCTTGTTACTATCTATTGATTGCATGCTAAATTAATTGGCAGATACAAAATAGTTTTCAGTTACAAAAATACTGTGGTTGTCATTGCAGTCTCTTTGGCAGTCTCATCAGAGGCCAAATGTTAAATGGCCATAGAGGTTAGGCCTTTCTTACTCCTTAGAGAGACCCACTTATTCAAGGTAGAGGCTGGCAAAATTTGTACCTACCATTGTTTTTGCTGTATCTATCTTGTGGATTGCATGTTTCATGCTTCAGAGCCATGAGGTAGCTCCCATGAGCATGACAACTCTTTCATAAATCTGCAAAATCATGAATATAGTACAAAAATCCTGCAGGAAAACAGAAATTATTTATGCCTGAGTTGTGTTTCCTATTGCAGTTATCAGTGGGACTTACTTTCATTTCTTCTAAGGTGCCAAAGTACAAGGGTGATTAGTTGCAAATACTCCATCAACAGAAGTTGTTGTCTTTTTTTAATGAGAATAACAATAACGGGGTACCCTGATTATATATTCCATTTTAAAAAAGAATGAGTAGGTCACAGGGATGTTTCCAGGAAATACGTTTCAACTTCACACAATCTTAGACCCAAAACTCAAAGGATGCCCTGCACAGCTTGTCTCATACTAGAGTTCAACCTGGGTAGATACTGAAGCTGTATTGGCTCAAGACAGTGGAGTAAAATGGCCTATTCACCCATTCTCAACCATATACATGTTACAAGCATGTAAAAGGTTACTGAAGTGGTTCTCCCATGCTCTGTGTGGCAGAGTTGGCTCTTCTAATGGTTTAAAGATGGCATAGGTTCAGTTAGACGCAAATTGTAACATGGGCAGAATAATGGTTACTTTATTGCTTGCCTGTAGCTGCAGGAAGGTGGTTATTAGCTGGTTTAGAGCAGTTTCAGCTCCTGTCAACATTCTTGTTGCAAAGTGGTTCTAGTATTTGAACAAATCACAGATCCTAATTTAGCCAGTTCTGTTTAAATAAGAGTTACAGCACTAGAACTGAAATGGTTGCTAAAATGCCACCTGGTGTGCAGTGCAATTTAAAGCTAACATTTCTGACCTAGAAGTAAAATAAAAGAACCAGAGATGAGGTTGTTATAGTTTTATGTATACCTAACCCAAATGTATTCAGTGTTTTCAGTTGGAGAGCCTGCCTGCTTTATGAAGGAGAAATACTCTAGCCTTGGAGCAGAATAATAAGTACTCTAAGTATACTGTGTAAATGGGAGGGAGACATTTTCAAGCAACACAGGGGGAAATGAGTCAGCCACTCATTTATATGACAGGTCCAACTCTCAGACACCTTTAAAGCTACAAGCTGTTGGTCTCAAGATCAAATAAAACAGACTGAATAATCAGAGCTGCTTTGGGACAGATAATTTTGCTGAATCAAATTTGTGTGTTAATTTCCACGTTGTCTGCATCTAAGAAGCTAGGAAATATTTATTACTGAATTATCCTGATTTTTTACAGAGTATTATGTTAGTGAAAATATATTTGGTATCATGTGATGCAAATCAAGAATGCAAGGCAAAAATTGGAATAACATATAGTCATTGTAAATCATGTAACACTAATTCTACTCAGAAACAATATAGAGAAGTTAAGGGTCATGGTTTTTAACTTTACGGCTTTCAACATGGCTCAATGAAGCTAGAAGTAGCAAACAGTTTAGGACCTGAATCTGCTAAAAAGCTTCTAAAAATAGACCACTAATAGCTAAAGTAAATGTGAGATGGCAGTTGGTAAGAGGTCTTTTAAGTCCATTTAAATAATACCTTCTGATTTGTTGAATCTGCTTAATATTTTCCATGTGACTTCACTGAATGCACGTCATAAGGACATTTCAGGCCGTTAGGGCTTTCTTCAGCAAAAAACTCCGTTAAATGGTTTTGGTAACAGTATTCACATTTTTTTGTAGCTTGGCTCAAAAAATATACCACATTAGATACGATTAGGGATGTGTAGAGTGACATGCACACAGCTACTTTTGCTTCCTTATATTATTATGTTTCTTTATCATTGGTGATCTGATTGTCATGGAGGATAATTGTTTATACTGCAATCTGATAGTAAAATACTGAGGTTTTTTTGCACCCACTTATTTGGCCACATTTTGACTCACAAGTGAAATAATCTTAGAAACCATTAACAATTTGAGAGAAAATATTTATTTCTTTTGAGTATCCAAGTTGGCACAATACCTTTTTTACCAGTAGAAAATGTAGTACTAGTGTTAGAGTCTGGTCTGACGCTGGTCTGAGAAGTGTTGACTGAGCTTTAGAGGAGAGCTTGCTAAGTCTGTCTGACTGCTTATGCAACCTTAATTTGTGCCTTCCCCACCCAAACATGAACTACATGATCACATTCTGTTTTTTAGTTTTGTTCAGTGCATAACATTTACTTAATGAAAAGCTATTTACTGTTTTGGTTTCTGTGCATTCAGCATGTAGCTTCATCCTTTACTTATTGTATACTACTGAAACCAGGTGATGAGAATAGAATGAATAATTTTCTTGTGCGCCTTTTTAAAGCACTCATCTTTTTTTGTATCTAAGTGCTTCACAAGCATTGTTCAACTTATTTTCACATCATCCTGGTGAAATGAGGGTTATTAATATCCCCATTTTGTAGATACAAGAATGAAACATAGAATAATTAAGGTCAAAAGTATCCATTAATTTTGAGTTGCTAATCTGAGATGTCAAGGACCTGATTTTTCAGAATACTTAGTCTTGTATACATCTTCATATATTCAGACCCATTGTTTTCAGTTGCTCCTATTGTTTCCTATTGTATCTGAAAGTGCTAGGCATGCCTATAGATCAGACTCCAAGGTCTCAGGTCAGGCATGCAGAAAAGGAAGAGTATGTAAACTAAACTTTTCAAAGGTAATAGCTAATTAAGTTACTTGACTGGAATAACCTAAGAGCTGTATGGCATAGACAAGATAACATCCATTCTCAAGGGTAATATTCCTTATATTGTTAAGGTTAATAGGCCTTAAAATCCATTCTTTTTCTCCCTGCCTTCAGCTCCTTCTTCCCTTCTATAAATCTGATTCCTGGGTCTCAGGCATGAGCGACTGGTGCCTCTTGAGTCTGGGGGGGCACCAGCGGCCAATTGCCAACCGGGGGAAGGGAGGGTCCCCCAGTGGCTGATCACTGACCTGGAAGTGCCAGCAGCAAAACCAAAAGTGCCGCTGGCGCGTCTCTCAATGCCCTCACTCCTCAGCCAGCACCAATCTCGCGGGGGGGGAGGGTGGCACCGGCTGACACTTCTCTCGGTGCTCCCACTCCCTGGCCAGCAAGGGCCAATCTTGGGGGGGGCACATGCCCCGCTGTGCCTCCCCTACACATCGCCTACAGTCAGGTTAGGCAATGAGGAAAGAAGAAACACACAAACCAAAATTTTGGTTCCCCTGTTCTTCCACCTTGGTGGCTTATCTGATCCAGCTTTTACTTCACTCTCTTTTCTTGTTCTCTACTTGTCTGCATTCCCCAGTCCCATTAGGTTTTATATCCAGTCACTCTTCTTAGGTATCTTGTCCAATCTGTGTTTTTCAACCCATCTCTCCCATCCTTTACCCAGCCAGCCTCAGCCTCCCTACTCCTGGCTGTTCATCCAGGGTCATCGTGACGTCTCTCCCTCCACCTCAACATTGGTGATTTCATGCACCCCAGAGCCTGGGAGATCATGGCTGCCATAATCCCCCAGCCCTTGGGATCCCTGTGGCAGGGAGCCCCTCAGCCATGGGGGCCTGCTTCTTGCCAGTGTAGCCCAGGATTTGGCTCCCCCTGCATCAGTGATAAGACATGATGTAATCTAATGTGCAGTTCCACAATCATGCCTCCTCCTATGCACATGTGGAATAGCAGGAGGCACAATTGTGTGGATCACACATTAAATCTCATCAGTGATAAAGGCACTAAAAGCACTGCCTTTACCAGCATGTGTAGATGGGGCCCTAGTCTTGTTGCCCAGCCAATGTTTCCCCCACCTCCTATTCTCAACCTCATTTTTTTTCTTTCCCCTACGCTAGCCAAGGATCTTTTCCTCAACTTGTTCCCCATCCCAAAAGGTCTGTACCTTTTTCTTTTCTTTTCTATATTCAAATCTGGAAACTTCCTGTTCTATTTTGCCTGAGTCGAGCTTGGGTGAAGTCATTGGGAAAGCAGGAGAGACAGGTTTTGTGCTCTCTGTTTAAGTATATCAGTGATTCTCAAACAGGGTGCTTCACGCTGTGGTGCTTTGAGATCCTTTCAAGTGTGCCACAGGGTGCCACTCAATGTTAACATTGTTAAGTGTGCAAACTTGATTTATAAGATAAATCCAGAGATTTAAAATAGGAATTCATAATGTTAAAAACATTCTGACCTATTGTGATCTTTCTGAGTTCTTTGCAACAGTAAAGTTGTTCTATTATTTTTCCATAGTCAAAAAAATGAGTGAAACCCAAGAGCTGGCATCTTCCAAGGGGTGCCATGAATCTAAGAAGTGGTGTATTAGGTCTAAGAACACTGAGAACTTCTGCAATATATGAACTTCTAGTAATCCATGGTTATAACCGCATGGAAAGACTGGAGTGTACATAGTGTGGATGGGACCTTTGGGTAACTAAGTTGCTAAAATTTGCCAAGAGAACGGCAGGCCAGCAGGGCAATGTGGGAAAAGTTGCTCTACTGTATCAAAGCTTCGCTCTTTCTTTAAAAAAATGATTAACTATTTAGAATTGTCCGTTTCAACAATAATAATTCACTTGGAAAAGAACCCAGGACTTAAAAAAGCTAATCATTGAAGTGGGACTCTCCTGAAAACACTTTATATATAGTAAATAAGTTATATGATAAAGAAAGATATCGCTGAGGTTCTTTCTCCATGTTATAAGTAGAGATGGGACTGAACCAAAATCCTGATTCCAAATCTTAGTTTTTGATTCAGAGATACATTCAGAGACTGAACTTCATTCTAGAAAGAAGGGCTCTGTCTGAGCAGCTAGAACCTTGGGTGACCTCTGCTTAGAACCAGCTGTCCAACTTTTGTCTTTGGAAAAAATGAGATCTGTGATTTTATGATTGAAAGCAATATTCGATTTTGAAATTCAAATAAAAAATTATTTTAATGGGTGTTGATGTGAGCCTTTAGTTCTGCCTTTTCAGTAAATACATAGGTCAGATCTGGAGCTCTAATTCAGGTCTTCCTTTTCCCATGGAAAGCCCATGTATTTATTTCAAGGGTGTCAGAGATATGGCACTATCATCTGCCCCGCAGTGCTGCCTGTGGGGCTCAGAATAACACTATGTGCCACATAAAGCACATGCTGGCCCTGGCCTTACAGGCTGCATGTGATGCACAGAACCAGTCTGGCATGCACTTGGGTGCAATATGTAGGGAGTGCATGGGGATGCACATGCACCCCCTGAGAGCACTGGTGCACCCCCTCCTTGTTTCGCCAATGGGCAGGTGGGAGCACCAGTGCCCCCCCCGCCCCACCCCTGCGAGTGCTGGCCGGGGAGTGGGGCTGCCAGCAAAAGCAACCGCAGGACTTCCAGAAGCAGTGCGGTTACTTTCATGGTGAGTGAGATCGGCCGTGGGGGACCCCCTCCCCCCCCATTCAGTGGGATCAGTCGCTGACTGGTGTTAGGGGGGGCACATGCCCACCCCCTGACTCAAGAGGCACCTGACACCCATGCATGCACTGCACGTGCTGTGTGGGCCTAAACCCAGCACACGCACTGCATGTAGCAAATGGGGCCTGTCTGGCATACGTGCTGGATATGGTGCCTGCCCTTGACTGTCCCTACATGCTGGATCCAGGTCTGATCCAGATTGGGCCCACAGATCAGCCCCATGTTCTGGAACCAGCATGCAGGGCTGGTCTGGATAGGCATGGTGTTCAGCATGCACTTCAGACTGGCCCTATGTGCCAGATGTGGTTCACAGGACTGGAACCATTGTGTACACTGAATGCAGCACGAAAGGCTGGTCCGGGGTACATGCTTCACATATTACCCAGGGCCCATCTGTGGGCTTGATATGGCCTAAGGACCAGCCTCACGCCCCTTATCCAGCCACGGGCAAGTGGTGCCTCCTGAGTCGGGAGGGGCACTTGCCCCCCAAGCAGCCAGTCAGTGACCGGGGGAGAGGGGGTCCTCCTGCAGCCTATCACACGGACTTGGAAGTGCCAGCAGCGCTGCTTAAAGTGGTTAAAGGATGCAGAACAACATATAATTGAACCCTATGTGATCAAATTAAACCATAATGAGCAAGTTCTTTTGGGCCCTCAGCAATCAAAGAAATTCAAATACACTTAAGGGGTTTGAACTTATCTACTAGTGTTCCAAAGTGTGCTCCTTTTGTATTGGCAAGCCATCAAGGTTGGAGGTGTTAGCTGGATTTATGGTGTATTAAAACTATGCAGGCAAAATACCTACAGGCAAAGAAGAGATATTGTGACAACTGGCCAGAGTGGAGCTGAATTGGAAGCAGCGATTTTGAACAGTATTAACATTAAGTGTTAGCTAATAAAGTAGGCTATGCTACAGCTGAGATGCAAATAATTGGGAAACCCGTAATGAGTTCATTATCACATCTAGAAATTGGGGAACAGCTAGTGGGAGACATCCTGCTGGTACTCCAAGAAACTGAAGAAGGCAACCACCAAATTATAGTTGCAGCAATTGATAAATTAATTCAGTACAATGTTTCTCTAGCCTTGGCCTGTACACAGGCTCAAGCTTTAAGCCAAACCATAGTCACTCAAATCATCTGCTCTGGCCTTCAGGGCCACTTGCCAATAAAGCTTAAAAAAATGTTTGAAACAATGCCACTCAAGGAGAAAAAGACCTTTCCAGGTGGTGGAAATTAGTTTATTTTATCTATAGTGAATCAAACCAACAAATTGTGGCTCATATGGTTACTGTTAATGCCACTTCTCATGTCACCATATATCCACTGGTATCTGTGGGTCTTGGAGTGAGTAAAGGTGTTGTGATGTACTCCTGTGACCATCATCAGTGGGCATTTAAGCAGCAAAGAAAATTGGGGACCATTAATATCAAGGGATGTCTAATTCATGAAAATGTGGGGTATGTGTGTGAGGACCAGACTCTTCAGGCACAAGATGAATGCCTATATGAACAACACGAAGTCCAGCACTGCACCTTTGATTTAGTGAGTGAAAACCAATCTGTTGTAGCATATGCTGGAAAGGGATGTGTTTGTGTACGTACTCATTTCCCATATGTTTTGATTAACCAAGAATTTTGTATTTGATAGTGTTTTCTGTCAATCAATGTTTTTGTAATGCTTCATCAGTTAGTGGTTGTGGTTTTATGTATTTTGTGCCCCGGTGGACTGTTCAGTCTATCCAAGCTAAATCATGGCTATATCAGGATATAACCCCAGTGCAGATGGGATTGGATTTGTCACTTTTGCAACAAGTTTTGTCTCACTCTGATCTATACACTGTGCTCCAATCTGTTAAGAAATACAATCAAGAAACTGTGGTTCAAATCAAACATAACAAAAAAAAAAAAGGATTTAACGATCCCTAAGCACTATATGCAGGTCAGTGGTGCGAACACCCTTGCAGCCAATCGTGCCGACCAGTGGAGGGGTGATCATGCCAACCCGGACGTGCCAGCAGTGCTTCTCCTGTCGCCCCCCACTACCCAGCCAGCGCTCTCAGGGGGGACACTTACATTCCCACCTGTCCCTCATGCCCGTTGCCTAAGCGGGGAATGCTGGCTGTCAGGGGGTGCACCAGTGCTCTCAAAGGGTGCACGTGCACCTCCTACGCATCGCCAGTGTATCCAGCCCAGATGAGTTTGACACCTCTGATTGAGACATTGCAAAATGCTACTCATCTGCTGCCACTTATTGCAGGGGTGCTCAGCCTCCAGCCCATGGGCCAAATGCAGCCTGTGGAGCACTAGATGTCTGGCTGCAGGGCTCCCCACAGATCAGGAAATTTGGCTGCAGGAGAGGGGTGGCAGTAAATATGGCCACCGTCCTCTGCTGCCAAATTTCCAAACCCCTTCCACCATGCAGCAGGTTAAAGCCAAGTTGTGTCCTCTCCCCCCATCTTCATGGGTGGCTGAGGCCAGGCCACACCCCTTCTCCCAGGCTGGATGGGGCTGGGCCGTGCTTCCTTTCCCCCATAGGGCTAGGTTGGGGCTGGCTCAAGCCCCTGTCACTCCTCCATGGAATTGGGTCAAGCCCCCATCCTCCTGTGGGGCTGGAATGGGGCTGAGCCATGCCCCACCCTTCCCACCACCATCACCACAGGGCCATGTTAGAATCGGGATGTCCCCTGTCCCCCTCTGCGTCGCTGGAAGTGGCCCTGCCACGATGGCCCTGTGCAAATCAGGATCATAATCTGGATGCAGCCCATGGATGGCTTCAGCACTGCCCAAAAAGGTTGCAAACCACTGACACAGCATTCCTGTTAGATTACACGGGAGAATGAATGGATTCAGTATGCCAGAATTGAGTTGTTTTGGCAGAGCTGTTTAGGGAGGACTTGAGAGCGCCTGCTTAGCCTTTGAATCACTGTAGTCCAGTGCTGCTCAAACTTTTTGCCTTGCAGGCCAGATGGGCAGTGCCCAATCCGTCTACAGGCCAGATCCAGATGGTGGTCCAGTGCCTAGGGCAGGTGTGGCAAAGCACCATCTGGCCATGTGGAGAGGGTGGGGGGTAGTCTGGCCCCAATCCAGCCACATGGTGGAAGGAGGCTTGGCCCAGTCGCAACCTGGCCTTTCAGGAAGGTGAAGGAGGCTTGGCCTAGCCCCACAGGGGAAAAGGTCCATGGCCCAGTCCTGATCCAGCTATGTGAGGGAAGGGGCTTAGCCTGGTCCCACAGTGGGGAAGGATGCATGGCCCAATCTCAGTCTAACTGTTCAGGGGAAGGGGGCATGGCCCAGCCCTGATCCAGCTGTTCTGGGGAACCGGGGGAGTGGCCTGGACTAATCGGCCACTCAGGGGGGAAAGAGGCATAATTTATTACCAATCTGGCCATGTGAGGCTTAGGAATCTGGCAGAGGATAGAGGTGTCAGTATTAATTGCCACTGCTCCCCCACCGCCAAATTTCTCAACCTATAAAAAGTCCTATGAGCCAGATGCCATGGCTCTGTGGGCTGCATTTGTCCTGCAGGCTGGAGGTTGAGCACCCCTGCTCTAGTCAGCACCATTATTCTTCCATGTTAATTTATACAAGAATTCAGTCACAGTGGGCATGTCTACATGTTCACTAATGTGCCATAATTACGGTGCATTAAGTTCAGTACCTGTAATTACAGGTACTACCTTAATGCACCGTAACCAGCACTACCATGCATTAGCACTAGCGCACACTTTTTTTGTGACCCTAATGCTCAGTAGACTAATTCTACTACACATTAGCACATTAGCATGGGTTTTTTCTGTCATGCTAATGCTCAGGAGAATTAGTCTGCTGTGCTTGAAGCATTTTGTGTAGACACGCCCAATGTGTCCTTGATTACAAGGTCTCTTGTGCAAAGGAAATAATTGGTTACTTTTGATACTTTGAGCAGATTTGCAATTTAGAAAATGATCCGCCATTTACTTTTTTATTTCTGCATGCTGACTGTATTTAACCACGCCTGAACAGTTGTTCTATGGTAAGGAATAATTCAAAACAATAGACAAATTTTATTTAAAATTAAAATAGACAGCTTAAATGCCTCTTTGGATAAGAGTAAATTATTCACCTATCCTTTCTATAACGGCAGCATTTAATCAAGCATACACATTACTAATGTACACTCTTCAGACAAATGAACTGTGTAACAATTCAAGCAAACATGTTCCAACTGTTCACACAAAGCGTTGCAAAAGACGTGTATTGCGTTTCCACAAAGCTTTCCCTGCAATTTGCTGCTGAGCACTATGCACATCACTTAGTTTCCCAATTAAAAATCGCAAACAGAAAAAGCTTTGCAGCACTAACTGATCCATGCTTTCTCAGAGATGTGGAAAGTCACATGTTTCAGGAATGGCCAGGCACATCATTCTGGTACAATATAAAGGCAGTGTCAATCACTGTCTCTCATTTTTCATAACTCAGCTTCCATGGTTCTAATTTTGTCATTAGAAGCGAAAGGTTAAAGGAGCCTAACTTTGCTTTCAATATATTTTAACCAATAAAGATGGATCTCCTTCATAGCAATGGTGTGCTTATAATTCAGCATTTACAGAAGGATTACAGGGCTTACCAGGACTTTCTAAATTTCATGTCCCATGTTGGAGATCCTCGGAATATATTTTCAATTTACTTCCCTCTTTGGTTCCAGCTTAACCAAGTGGTTGGTACTAAAATGATATGGGTTGCAGTCATTGGGGATTGGTTCAACCTTATATTTAAATGGTAAGAAATTCTGATTCTTTTAAAATGTTGTATCTCTTATGATGCAGGTTTCTAGATGTCTCAAGATTATACTCCCTCCTATTACATACAGATGTAAATATGTAGTTTTGCCGTGTGTGTGTGTGTGTGTGTGTGTGTGTGTATACACACACACACACACACACACACACACATACATACAAAGATTGAAAATTAATTTTAATGGAACTATATCATATTTACACAGCCATTTTGGTAACGAGCACTGTATAATTTTTCTAGCAACATACATTTTATATGTAGTATAAAGTGAATTATCATGCTTTGTTTGGTTCATCTTACATTAGGATATCTTTATTGTATTTACGTTTATACTATTGTCTCTTTTGTCAGGATTTTATTTGGCCATCGTCCCTATTGGTGGGTCCAAGAAACAATGATCTATCCCAATCAATCCACCCCATGTCTTGAACAGTTTCCAATAACATGTGAAACTGGTCCAGGTAAGGCCTATAGGCAGTTTACATTTTTCTAATGTTGAAAATAATATCTCAGGAAGCAGAAGCAGCAAAGATATTGATTATTATGTAAATTGATATAATTGATGGAAATCAAGTATCAGAAAATGAGTGTTGTAAGAGCCTCAAAACACATCAGTGCAGCAATAAGAGGGCAACTCCATATTAAGAGTTGTGACAGGTAGTCTATGAAGATCTCAGAATATCTAGTTCACGGACTGGAAAGAAATGTTACTTCACTGTCTTTAACCTGTAGAGAGGCATCACTTTAAAATGGCAGTTATTATAAAGATCAATACTAGATGGCTGTTTTTTGAAGAAATACATCACAGCTCCAGAGCTGTTGATTCATGTCTGCTGTGATGACTTATCCGAGGTAATTCTTTTCCAAATAACATCAACTTGCAGCGAGGAGTTATACAAGCAGATTCATTGCGAATTAGCTGACTACCTGGATGCATTTTTGTCAGCAAAATAAGTGGGCAGGAGAACTATTTTGATATCTAGTGATCTCCATTGCAAGATCAATCTGGATTAGGGTAGGTGAATCCCAGAGAATTTGAGGTTTGTGAAATATTGCAATAATTTTCAGTGTTATAGGACTGGTACACAGTTGTGATTCCCCACCCCCCTTGGAATTTAAACCCTTAGTCCATAATTTCCTTTACATCCCAAATGATTCCATTTGAAAAACAGCCACCTCCAATCTAACTATTGTGTTACCTGTTACTATATTACCTGCTACCTACCACTCTTCCCCAGAGCTGTAATCTGGCCCAAGAAAGTACCTTAGATATATTTTTCCCCACACAGGATTGTTCATTCAATACCTTCTCTGCTTCTTTTGTCATATTCTCTCTTAACTGGAATGCAAATCTAATACTTCTCAAATCTCAAATGGACTTCAAATCCATGAAGTTCGAAATTAGTTAGCCAAAATCACCATTATCTTCTGAAGAGCAGATTTCACATGATTACACAGACATAATTCTGGATCCTGAAATAATGGATTTTTCTACTATATGAGAAGCATGCAGTAAATATAATTAATGTGCTTTGTACAGTGTCAGTGGACTGGCTTTCACATGGAATGCAGTTTCATTTCATTTTTATTAGCAAGACACTACATCATAATTTACTGTAATTTTGAATAAGAGACTGGAGCGTTTCTGTCTGACTGGTAGTTTGCACTATCTGCTGTATATGAGGCTGTGCTATCAGCTTCTAGGGTTCTTCTTTGATTCAATTACAAATTCACTTGGGACCAAATTTAAGGTGCTGTACTCCCCCATCTCTTTAGCAATAATTTCAGAAGTGAGGGCACTTAGCACCTAATCAGTATTGCCAGATAGCAATCATTATGTTTCATTGCTAGCTGATGTAACTGGAGGCTTCTTTCTTCCTGCATAAAATAAGCCACTGATGTTTTTTACTCAGGATAGGCTTTTGTCAAATGTATTATATACATTTTTTAAATCTGAAGCTTAAATTAAAAGACTAGAGCAGCAGGTATTATACACTAACATGAACATTACAGAGGGGAAAAACAAAACTGTGTAAAACCACTGTAGCCAGCTCCATGTTCTCCTTTCACAGCCCTATTCCCCCAGGGGAAGTTAGGAGCAGAGCAGTGTGTCAAAGGTGTGAAAATGAGGGAGCAAGAGTGTATGGAGCTCACTGAACACCACCCAGTGGCTTTTCCCAGGGGGACCATTTTCAGCTGATACACACTGCAGTGGCCTTTAGATTCTAGGTTTTATCTTCTGTATTGTAGCAGGGATGATGTCCAATACAGGACCGTGTGAAGAACTGAAGAGGCATAACTCTTGTTTGCAAATCTGATGCAGGAGAGAATCTGGCATCTGGTAAGATAGGGAAAATTGCCACAATACCTTTATGAATTACTTCCCTAGCATCATTCCAGCGGGGTTTACTTTTATTGAGAGTCCCTCCATATGTGCCTAAAATTCTGTTCTTCTCCATATTGCCTACATTTATTTGAGCGTTGATTCTGTTAGATCTGAAATATTATAAGATTTAAAATATATATCGAGTCTCCACATATATATCCTTTCTATGAAAGTGGTAAGTCATTTCAAAGATATTAAAACATTATTTCATGGTAAGGGATTTATTGATTTTTTTCCCGTAAGACAATCTGTATTTTTTTTATTTATTCATTCATTCAACTTATTGAGTATTGCATAAAGCAATCTTCTTTCCTCCAATATACAGGAAAATATTTCTTTTTATGTATATTAGGGTCTACCAACAACATACTTGTTATTTACATTGTAGTGCTAATATTATTTATGTATTATAATATTAATATAAGTTGGAACTCTCTTACAATTGAGGCAATGGATAGAAAAGCAGTTTGAAAGGACTGACACCTGAAATTGCTCCAATGGATTATTTTTCCTATAAAAATGACTAGTAGAAGCAGATAATTGCCCACTGCTTCCTAATTACAATATGTATCTGTCTTCAATCCTTTAACTGTATTTCAGATACTTGGTGACTTAGATCATAATACAACATGATTCTCTTTCTGTTTTGAAGAAAATCTCAGACTGGTACGATATTTTAGGGAATGGTAGCCATCTCAACACCTAGCTAATCCTTGTGTGTGAATCTTGCATTACATGTCAAAATGTACTTTAATTAGGGTTCTGGTACTATTAGTACCATATCAAGTTAAAAAAGAGTTAATATTCTAGTACCATCATTTACTCTATTAGATGTGTTGCTGCTTCATATATATCTCTAAATCTAGTTAGAGATGTCTCTGACCACTTTATTAGACAGCATAACCTGAGGCATATGGAACATTTAACCCAGTCCTTGCAGCACCTTATATTTTTAGCACAAAAGTATGTACATGCTCAAATATGTCTCTTTTTCATATATTCTTTAGGTTTTTAGAAAGGCAAAGGGAGTTTAAGTTGTATAGCTCTGATAATTTTATCATTCTACTAATCCCTAAATAACAGTGAAAACTTTCTGTTTCATAAGATTTCTTTTATCCGAATCCAATTCAGAAATAAAAATCAGAAATAAAAAATTAGATATTTTTAACATCATTTCCTCTCAACATGGTAAGTCATGTTAACATAAGGTTGGGAAATCACCTGCTACTCTCCGTCTAATTCAAGCTCTGAATTGTCTATGAATGATTTTTCTGAACAGTTCATGTACGCAGGATGCCTAGACCTATCTTTTAAGAAGCCAACAAGGTTTCTCTAGGATTTTTTATGCTTACTCTTTTTGAATTATTATTTGAAGAGTTACTAAGGGTTATTTTTCTATATTCCAAATTTCTATTTGTGACTTTTGAGTTTAAATATTCTTTTTTTGTTTTTAATAGGAAGCCCCTCTGGCCATGCAATGGGATCTTCTTGTGTCTGGTATGTAATGGTGACAGCAGCCCTTAGTTACACAGTGGGACAGACAAATAAATCAGCAGTTACCCTGTACAGGTCAGTGCTTTCTGCTATTTTAAAACCTATATTTGAAAAATGGGGAAGGGGAGGGTGTTGATTAATGTTATTACAGGAAATATTTGTAATCCTCTTTTACCCAGTTAGCTTTGAGTTGTTAAAATGTCTTTATTCCGATTGGTTTCAGCGAAAAAATCAGAATGCAGAGAAGATTAGTATTTTCCTTTAGGATGACATCTTATTCTGTCCCTGCCATTGCATTAAGACGGGTATATTATTCGCTCCTTCTCAAGGCTGTGGGAGCAGCATCAGTTTGATAATATTGGAAGACCTGATTTACATTCACTTTCTCTTTTCTTTTGATCTATCGGTTTAATGCATTAAATATGCCCCTTTGGGAGCAGTCCTTCATGTCTGGCTGTGAAGAAAATGCACATGCTATTGCCACAATCCCCCACAATTGATGTGTTGTGTTGTTATATGTGAGGGTTTAAGACTGCCTCTGTCATTGTCCTTCTTACCAAAGTTAAAATGGTTGTTATCCTAGTGAGTGAACCTTTTGACTACATTAATGATTTTTTCAGTTTTAATAGGCCTTCATGATGACAAACATGGAAAATACATGTCGTTTTAACTTTCCATTGATGTCTAACAGCTGAAATAAAGGATCTAATCCTACATCTTAATGTATTCAGGTCTGATCCTTCAGTCCTTAATCAAGCACAATTCCTATTGAAGTAAATGGAATTACCAGATCAAACACTTTTGCTGTCAGCATCATTTCAGTGGTTCCAGTTTTTAATCATCTCTATAAACTTTTTGAACTTGTAACTGTGATTTCTAAAAATAAAGGGCTAGGAAGGAAGAAATCAATGAAATATGTTTAGGATGTTTGTATTTTATACAAAAATAAAAATCTTATATCAGTTCTTTTTTCTCATAGAGTGACCTGGTCATTCCTTTGGAGTGTTTTTTGGATTATTCAGATCAGTGTGTGTATCTCTAGAGTTTTCATAGCAACGCATTTCCCTCATCAAGTTATTCTTGGAGTAATTGCTGGTAATGTTGATTATATATTTTTTTCTACTCAATGTATACCAAATCTAAAAAATTGTTTTAAGGTTTCCAAAACCAGATACATTTAAATGGAATTTTAATAGTAATAATCAAACTGTCTGTAGAGCTACACACTTCTCTGGGACAAGTCACTTTGAAAACTTTAGCCCTGCCTAAATCAAATTTTTTAAATTGGCTTGTGGACTGTCTGTACATGTGCTCGGAGGTGGGAGATGGGGCATTTTAATTAGATCATTTCCTGGTCAGCTGCTTTAATTAAAATGCCTCACTGTCACATGTATTAAGCCCCCACATGTTTAAAAATGGCCACAGGATGCTTTATCTAAACCTTATTCGACAAGATTTAGTTAAAGCACCCTGTGGTCCTTTACAAATGTGCAGGGGCTTAATACATATGATGCTGCAGCAACACTGCAGTGTGCTAATTACAACACCAACGAGCATGTTTATAGGTAGTCTTAGGACCCTGAGTTGCATTGACTTGCAGTGAGCCCTAGGCTTCTACCATTTATACACTTTCTCCCGAAGTGGTGGGGTGGTGGTGCTGCTTTAATTAGAGTGGCTCTAAATGCCCGGAACATCTCACGTATCAGCATCCCCAAGCTTTAGAATGGTGGCAGGGGCACCTTATCTAAAGCTCATTGAATGCTACTCCCTGCCGCCATATTGAAGCAGGGATGCTGATATACAAGACACAGGAGGCTGCTGGAACACAGTAATTGCCACACTCCAGCAGACTCAATTTGAGTCTGCTCCAACATGCTGAAATTACAGCACATCGGAGCCGCCTCCCTGCTCATGTATAGGCACCCCTAAATACCAATTTGAAAGGGGCATTTAAGACATCTTAAAAAATGTTCCATTTAGGCTGTATCTGATCTTGGAGAGAGCGAGTAGAGCTTTGAGCCCAAGTGCTGTTCCTTTCCCAAGCAACTTTTCTTGCAGAAATCAGCACAGATACTATTGATTAAATAGTTTGAAGCCCATCTCTGTTCCTCTTCACAGCCAGGAATGGGGAAAAGGAAAGAGGAGTGAGAGAAGTGAGAAATATCTCACCCTCTTCCAAACTTAGAAAAGGAGAAGGAATGTTCTTGGCATATGGGAGATAGAATAAAGGCTTCATTGTAAGCATGTTGTGATAACAAGTACAAGAGAGAGAAGATAGGAAGTGATTAAGCACTGGCCATAGAGATAGAGTCCACCTGCTGGCTGACTGAAGATAAAATAAGATTAAAGACAGAAAGGCAAAATCAATAGTGTGGCTGAGCAGGCTTGAATACTTGAATACATTGGGCCAAATGAAATAATAAATGCCAAAACAAATAGAGCAATGAATTAATCTTTAAGACCTACAAATAATAACACTTGGATCACTGGAGCTGATTCCCTATTAGTTTATGCTGATCACATTGCCCTACTGTCACTCGAGTCATTTTTTGCCATTTGGGATCTCTGTGACTGGTTCCTCTATGAGAACAGGGTTTGGTCAGAAACATAGGGATGATAAATCATGCTTCTCTATGGAACAAGATTTGGCAGGAGAAGCCACAAGAAATAAGGGGAGACAGGCTTGATTCCTTATAGGAGTACGGAGTTGCATTTTGTGTCATGGGGCAGCCTCTGAGGGTAGGCTTTTCTAGGGAAGAACACCTCTAGTTGATATCAGTTATTCCACAGTAGTTCTTCTGGGAGATTTTTTGGGAGCTGTAATGAAAAAGGGCATTGACTATGTGTTGTAGCAAATTTTTACACCCTTTATAGGCAGACTTTTTATTGCAAATACAAAACCTGTATTCAGACATGAGAGGAAGAATATGGCTTGTTTGGATGTGCTAATGAAGTTTAGTGAGTAGAAACTACAGACCTTCTTCTGAAAAGTTGGTTCTTGGCATTTACAGAAAGAAGGGGACCCATTATTTTGAACTGGCAGGTTTGGAGAGAAATAAGATTTTGCAGTGTGCTTTGAAGTGGTAAAGAGTATATATATAACACATGAAGATAGATAGATAGATAGATATTATTATCAGACATATGTAAAAATATGTAAAATATTTATCTTTATGAAGTGGTTGAATTCTAGTTTTAAAATTATATCCTAGAAGGTATGGCTTCTGGTATGTCCAAGACACAGTATAGCTCCTAATACAGTACTGCATTTCTAATTCACAGGTATGTTGGTGGCAGAAGCATTTGAACATACCCCTGCTATTCAGACAGCAAGTTTGAGAACGTACATCAAGACAAATCTGTTTCTATTAATTTCTGCTCTTAGCTTTTATCTGATTCTCAAACTCATTGATATTGACCTTTTGTGGTCTGTTCCAAAGGCAAAGAAATGGTGCGCCAATCCGGACTGGATAAACATTGACACAACTCCATTTGCTGGACTCGTGAGAAATTTGGGTGCACTCTTTGGGCTAGGTCTTGGCATTAATTCTGAAATGTTCATCAGGAGCTGCAAAGGTAAAAATGGATATAAGATAAGTTTCAGAATATTGTGTATTGCTGCTTCTTTAGCTACACTGCAGCTGTATGATTTTATCAAGATACCCACACACACTGAGTATTTGTTTTATACTCTATCTTTTTGTAAAAGTGCAGCCATTCCGCTAACTGTTGTTGCTTTGGTTCCATACTGCATACATTTGTTAATGAAGCCAACTGAAAAAAAGCTGAACTAAATGTACATTCTGAATGATCTGAAAATATAAGGGTGCTTCTGGATACAAGCAGTGTTCTATGAGCCACTTCAAACATGAGCATTTTACTACTTCATTATGAACGCTGGTGGATGCCAATACATATTTGATGTTTTCCTTCCATGTCCCACACACAAAAGCAGCACAGCCAGGAATGACACTGTTATGTTAGGAACACTGATTAGCTATCACTAGGTTTTCATTCTTGGACTGTATTACAGTATGGTTTTACAGTAAGTATTATCATATGGTTTCCTGATATCACTGTGGGTATGTCACTGCTTGGATATGGGTTTGATTTTGCAAAAGCTTTGTGGGTCTTTAGTTGTCCTTCTTCAACTAGATGGTGCTTCATTTTCTGAGTGTACATAGTGTCATTGCACTTCCCATTTTATGTATATGAATACTGTATGTTAATCTGCTAGAAAAAGGTGTGTGATAAAATCACACTTAACTGCACAAACACAACTATATACCAGGGTAAAGTTCTACATACTTTGCCAGGAGCATTAAAAGGTTGTGTTTAGATTTTACTTACAGTGCTTCTTGTGTGAAGCATCTTATGATTATTCTTTCCTGACTCAATTTATTATTTAAAAGATCAATCTGGAACAATTTAATTTAGACCTGCTAATTTTATTTCTAGGTTATCTCCAAGGCAGATACTATTTCATTTATGTAATTTTTTTATATGTTCTTAAAAAAAATCTATTGCAAGATATTGAATGATAAATTATTACATATTTAACTTTGTGGAAACTCTTGAATGTGGTATATTAAATCTGTGTTGTTGGACTAAATATCTACACAGAATTAAGCAGTAAAATGCAATTAATCTCAGCCACATCTTAAAGAATATTGTACATGTTCCTGACTTTTAAATGTAAATACGTCTAATAATCTCATTTTACAAACCAGACTTATCAGTGACGCTAGTCAAGATAATTCTATGTTAGTGATGAAAAAGAAATAATTGTAAGATGTTAAATGTAACATGCATATATGAACTGTTCTGCTTAACCTGATGCTGCCAATTATATTCCTCTTATATATTATAATGCATCTCATATTGCATATGGCTTTAAATAGTTCATAATCCATGTAATTCCTGTATCTGATGCCCTCTGTTTGCTGAGTTGAGCAATATAATGTTGATGCCAACTTAATACTGCCAACTTATATAGCCTTTCTGTAACTATGCCAGCCTTAAACTTTAAAATTGCTAGGGCTTTGCAGGTGCTACCCAATCTATGATATTGTAGCAGTGAGGTTACCCAGGTACAGCTGAAAGGATGGTCTGCAGACCTCCACTTACTTGTATGATGAATGAAATGGAAGATTCTGGCTTGCGGGGCAATACAAAGGACAGCTTTGAGTTGGCCCTTGGCTGTTGAGAGTGATCAAAACTCAAAAGACTGGCAAAGATAAAACTGGTTTCCTTATTTTAAAACTAATCTGGATTAAAACCCCTTTGATGGAACACTTTCCTCTACACAGCTGCAGGAAACAGTGTGTTCAGAAAATCCATGTACTATTAAAGAATGAATAAAGACCTCAGTATCAGATGTGTAAACAGTAACATCTTAGCAGAACATTCACCTTCTGCTCCTGGCAGTGAGGATACTCAGCAACTCACAGTGGGCTAGCCAAGGAACCATTGACCCTAAAAAGAGCTTTACTGTTTGCTGGTATGGTCATATGAAACACTGTTGTCCTCCTTGGTACAATGTGGGGTTGACGATTTATGGCTTGCAAGCTGAATCTGACCCAACCTATGACTGGAGAGGTCTGATCTGGCACAGAGAATTTCAGGAGTTTGTGACGTGGGCCCTATTTGATTCAGATTTGGCCCAAGTCAGGGACTGTGATTCCATTTGTTGATTTGGATCACTGTCCCTGATTCGATTCAGTTGAATCTGAATCTAAAGATTCGATGCTGATTTAAAGAATCAGTGATTCAGACATAGACACAGCTTTAAAAAATGTTTCTACATACCTTGAGATAGTAGGCACGGCTCGTGATTGCTGCGATGCGGTCCACTTCTGGGTCCGCCAGGGAGTGTGCTGGGGAGGCCCCCCTGAGCCTCCTAGGCTCAGCGATTGGCCACAGGAGGACCCTGGGTGCCCCCCCGACCCAGGAGGCACCAGTTGCTGAGCCGGGGCGGGGGGGCACAAGGGGCCCCTTGCGCGCTCCCAGGTGGACCTGGAAGTGGACCAGAAGTGCTTCTGGTCCACTTCCAGGTCTGCTGCTGAGCATGCTGGGGAGTCCCCTGTGCTTCTGTGGGACACTCCGTGCGCCCCAGCATCACAGCGTTCACGAGCCCCTGCTACCTAGAGGTATATAGAAAAAACATTTAAAGCTGTGTCTATGTCCTAATCGCTGAATCTTCTGACTCTCTCCGATTCGATTCGGAGAGATTAAAGGGTCCTCTGATTCGATTTGGATTCAGAGATTTGGACACCAAATCGGGCCAAATCTCTGCCAAATTGAATCAGTGACTGAAGCTTCACATAGCCCTACAGAGAATCAGCGGTACAAGGCCTGGGTTTCACTTGCTGCAAGGGGGTCAGATTAGTGCAAGTAGCTGGCTGCTGGGAGAGGCAGGTGGAGACTTCCAGCACACAGCCACAGCCAGGTTCCAAACTCCAGTCCATACCATCAAAAGGCTGCTGACCCGCAGTATAATGTACAAACTCTATGAACATCTCTGGAATGTCATTCACAGAAAACTATGAATAGCAAAGTTAAGGAGAGAAGGAAGATCCACTAAATCCTGGAAGTTTGCACCTACATCTCTAACTTCCCAGCAAAGTGCTACTCACAAGGCTGTGTGTGTTAGACATCACCCATAAATCACCCTCTCTCCCTCCTATTGAAGGTGGCAATTGGGCATCCAAATGTGAAGCAGATTTGAGTCCGAAAGGACTGTAAACCAGAGGGATTGTAGCTCAGTGAGATGGCTGCTGCTCTGAAAAGGACAGGGCCCCAAGGTCTAGCCTCATCAGTCACCAAAGACAGAAGCTATGCAACTGCTGCTTATCTATTTTATCCCACAATTATTGAATGCAGAACCACCCTTGGGGCAGGACTCAGAACTAGAGCCCAAGTCCCCTGCCTTGAGTGGGACAATGCCCATTTTAGTAAGCTCTATTCCTTCTGTTTTGCTCTCCTTCTGGCCTCATTGATCTTCCCCTCTCTGATGTCCAATGGCCCTGTTTCAGCAAAAGAGAGGGAGGGAACTCTGTTAATACCTAGCCCGTGGCCTAGTGGTTAGGGTAATTTGCTAGCCAGTGGAAGACAACGGTTCAGGTACCCTCTAGAGGAGGAATGCGTACAATTAGGATGAATAACCTAACCACTAAACTAAAACATCCTGCTGGTCTTTTGTGAGTTGCAAGCTTATTCATCTTCCCTAAAGGTAGGTACCGACGTGCTATTTAGTGGCCTAAAGAGGAGTTGGATTTAAGCCAAAGTGTTAGAAGATGGTATTCAGGAATGTGTATGACCAAGAAAACTTTCTGGTGCACTGCAAATACCTTGTTCTGTGTACTCATTTACATTAGCTCTTCACAATTACTAGCATGCAGAGGCTTTGTCTGTGACAGAAGCCTATCATTCTCAGACATTGTTACATTCAGAAACTAGGATGTGGGATGTGTCACAATAAAGTGAGACTTATCTTTGAACCTAATGTGCTCTTAAAGAGATTCAGTACTACAATACATCAGCTACTAAGGAATTTATTTTTATTTTATTGTCATAAATAGGGCTACAAGGTTGGTATTCTCTCACAGAATAGACTTAGTAATTACACAGTTTCCACATTAATTGCATTAATTAAAATACACTGCAATTATTTTTATGTGCATAAGTACCAAAGGACTTTAGTATCAGTAACATTTAGGTCTGTGTTGTGTGATAAGCACAATTTTAAAAAAAGAGAGGAAATACTACAATGTAATTCCAGATACTTTAATCCTTCTTTTACTACACTGTGATGAGGCTTTTACAAATTATTTATAGCAAAATTATAGTTCTCTCATCTTTGTTCCCCTTTTTGTTGATATCATAGTACTAATAGGAAAGAGGAAAACATGTGTGAGATAACGTGTCCTCTACTGAAGAAGGTACTGTTTTGATTTTTTTTACCCCATACCCTTGCCACATCATATAATGTTAAGAGCATGGTCTTGGCCCAGCACAACAGCTACTTCAATATTTTAATTCTCATCCAGTCAAAGTCCAGTGTTGCTGATCCAACAAAAAGGTAATTTAAAAAAGGCATGTAAAGAAACTTCCTTCTACAATTTCACAAGGACTTAAAAATGAAATGCTGATTGTAGCCAGCCTTTGTTTGGAAAAAGGTTAATTTTCAAAGTCAGTTGTAAAACATCATATGGTCTTTGATTCTAATAAGGGTATTACACAAGAATTTACATTCTCTTTTCTTTGTCCATAATAATTAAATCTCAAGAGAGAGATTGTGACAAGGTTTTTCATCCTTGACTCATTCAAGTTTCAGTAATTAATACTGATATATTATTTAGCTGCGACATCCTTATCATAGTGCAAGGTGAACAGATGTCAGTGTACTCAGACTATGACTTGTTCCAATTAATAATATTCCAAGGCCATATCTTATAATCAGGTTTTAAGTTAAAATCATATGAACACCAGAAATGTCATACTGCTTCAGGCTTGATACCATTAAAAAAAAAATCAATGGAAAGACTCCTATTGACCTTAACAGAAGCTGGCTCAAGCCCTAACTTTATAAATAATATATATTTTTTATTTTTAAGCTTTATAGAATTTAAACTTTCCTTATAAATCAGATTCAGACCCCAGGGATGAGCAAAATAATATTCTCCATTTCCCTAGTACTCTTCCAAGGTAAGATAAAATTAAAATTATACTGAAAATTTATTTCAGTATTATTTGATTTAACTAATGCATTTATTCATATTCAAATGAATTCATTTAGAGTATTTTACAAAGTGGCCCAACTAAGGAAAAATAGTCCTTATTCCACCTTTTGTTCATCTTCTCAGTTTCCTTTTATGATGGGGTGAAGAGCATTTCTTTATAGTAATTTATTATTTCTATTACAGTAGTGCCTACTCCAGTTAAATATACGCTCCAGACAAGATCAAGGCCTTGGTGTCCTAGGCACCAGGCATAGACATAGACAGTCCTTGTCCCAAAGAGTTCACAGTCTAAGTAGACAAGAGGAAAAGGTTAGAGAAGATAGTGTGCATTCATAATAGGGTATATACTTTGATTTTGGCTTTGTGTGATGTGATTCAGGGTGGATTCTTCTTTGATTGCCATTTGTTAAGTAAGAAAAGCACTGCAGAGCCTTTTCCTTTTATGTGCATACCTTATCCTTGGGCAACTCCCAACTAAAGAGCTTTTCTACTTGCAACTTCCTTTTTCCACGCACAATAAACTAAACTGTTTCATGAACAAATCACCCTACTGGTTAGTTTACAGGTAGCCAGCCTGCTGCACATGTGAGTGTGGCACATAGAAAACTAGGCAGCAGATAGGCAGCACAGCGGTAGATAGAGTAGGAAGCAGCTGATTGAGTAAGGGATGGGATTAGAGTGGCACTCCAGGAGGATGTCGAGCTAGTCTGTGGCACACTTGCCTAAAAGATTTGGCCCTACTGGTTTAGGTAATCGATTTGCTTGTTCCAGAAAGCCTTATGTGTTTTTAGGTTGGGTACCATGTCACTCACCATATGATACAGCACTTTGTAATAACGTAAACAGGTACCAAGAATTTCATACTAACTTCAGAGGACTTATTTGGAAAAAAATATGTCTTTTAACTTTACACAGTGTTTTAAATCAGCTAATAGGTGCTCCAGTCGTGACAAGTTTGTAATAAGCTCCTTTCATGGCCATCAGTTCACTGTGAGTGCCCTTTTCGATAATGACTCCTTGAGACATGACAGCGATGATATCAGAATGCTGAATTGTAGACAGACGGTGTGCAATGACAATGCAGGTCCGTCCTTCTCGTGCTTTATCCAATGCAGCTTGCACAGTCTGCAGACAATAGACAACAAATCAGCATGACAATGTGCCAGCTAAAATGGCAGTTAAGACATGAGGAATCCCTTATAAATCTATCCCTAATAATTAAACATTTCAGCATTTCTAACACTACCATTAGAAGTTTTACCTGAAGTAGACTCAAAGGCTAGAAGTTATTGGTGTGCTTAGCAACTCCATAAACTAAACCTGATGCTAACATATAGGAAGGAATGATGAAATATAAAACTCAAATTGTACATTTCAGTGCCAAACTGAATGTCATGGTGGTTCTGGTGAGTTTTAAAATTTTCATTTTTCCTTTGACCTCAAGGTACAAGCTGAGCCAATTCTTTCTTCTTAGTGCTCTAGCATATTGATGTAAATGAAACTACTGTCTATTCAGAGCATTTATTTTTAAAAGTGTTTTAATATGTAATTTTGTTTTGTGTGTAGTGGCTGGTACCACTGGGAGCTTTGGAAAGAGGCTTTGTACAATACTCAGAAAGGTGACACATCTACACTGGAAGTCTAAGGGGGAAAAAAACAGCTGTGTTTGCCTGGGTTTTGGAGGGGTTTTGTTTGTTTGTTTGTTGATAATTTTTACTTAGTGTATCTGCATAAATACTGTTAAGACCAAATCCACAGCTAAGGATCTTCTTGGCATCTAAGTCAGATTCCATTCCACCTCTTGGGTGAGTAAAGGCACTTAGGTGAAAATCCATTAATGGATCTACTTTTTTGCAAAATCTCAGCCATGAGATAGTCACAAAACAGCAGTGAAGAGAAGGTCTCACCCGTCTTTTCTACCAACAGTTTTGCAAGGAGCACAGCAGGATAGAATAGGGTTGCACTTAGGTACCTAAATCCATTCAGACACCAACAGGTGAAATAGAATAAATGCATCTTGATTTCTGAGCCTGCTTAGAAGCCCTCCACCAAGGCATCTACCTTTATTTACACTTGCTGAGCAAATCTATCCTGGGAAGTATTTAAGATCTCAAGAAGAGAGACCACCCATTTTTTAGTCCAGTGGCCCAAGGATTAAGGCAAGTGAAGGCCCAGGGAGTGGAAGACCCAGTTTACAGGCCCCATTCAGCCAAAGGGGTGTTGAACCTACATTTCATACATCTCAAAGTTCATTAACCACTAGACCATTGGCTAGGCAGAGCCAAGAACACACTCCAGCCATTGGGTTGAAGCTGGGCTCCTGGGCAAACAAGAAAGAAATGATCATGAGACCAAAAGAGCAGTATTGAAGAGGAAGTGTAACTCTACCCCCATGAAGAGGGCACTCCTACTTGGGTTCTGGTCCCTGGTCCCAGCCTGGGCTCCAAAGCTGTTTGTGTCTCTTGCATTGGATAGTCATTGGATGAAATTAATGGCATTGGGAACAGGAGCCAGAACCCAGGATTCCCTCACTCCTAGACCAGTGTCCTCCCAGACCAGTGTGTTTCTTCTGTTCCATTTCTCATTGAGGAAATAGGAGAGAACTATGCATCTCCCTGGGTAGATTAGGATCAGTGAAGGCTTCCTGAAGTCAACACAGAAGAGCTATATGTCAAAGCAGAGTGGATTTGGATTGGTCTCTGGGCTTGCTCTCAGCTGCCCAATGAGAGAATAAGAGAACTGTGCATCTCCCTGAGATAGGACATATAATTCTTACATTACCTGTGAGAAAGATTTGTATTTGGGCTTAATGTTTTATGGCTGAATTAACTACAGTTGCAAATAATATGCATGGTAGCAAGGTATCACTTTATTGAAACCTTGGAAAAGCACTGCATAGTAGAAAAGGCTAAATGAAATTATTTTTATGGGCATTTCTTTTACATGAAGGCATGTGGATAATTGCTTTGGGTCATCTTAGTTTCTTTTTATTGCATATTTACCTTTTCACTTTCTGTGTCTAAGGCAGATGTTGCTTCATCTAGTAATAAAATTTTAGGATCACGTATGATAGCCCGTGCTATAGCAATGCGTTGCTTTTGCCCACGAGAGAGCTGAGATCCCTGAGCTCCCACATTAGTTTCATATTTCTGAAAAATATATAATACAAATGAAATTTGTTTACAAATCAGCAGCTCCAGATACCCAAAACAAAGGATAAACTGGAAGAGTACTGGGCTATCCTGCAGTAATGGATCATAAACCCCAAGCAATCTTCTTCCCTCCTTAAGCAATCAAGTGATTCAAGGGTGATGTTTTACTGATGATACCAGGGTTTGAAAAGTGTTCTTTGCACCATATTTTGTCAGTCTACCTTCTACCTCATAGAGGCAGATGCCATGATAATGTACATGGGATAAAACTTGAGCAAGAGGTATTGACTGATTTGTGTATAAGGCAAAGATGTCTTTTGGGAAAGTGATACACAAAGAGGTTAGGGCTAAACTTTTCAAATGGATATTTAATCACTTTAAAAAAAATTCAGATGAGATTTAAATGCATATCTATAAGCACTCAAGTTCAAATATTTTGGTCTAAATGTCTTGCTTGCAGTGAAACAGATAATGTACAGCAGAAAACAGGGCCTTGGACATACATTCATTTGTAGTGCTATGAAATGCTAAGGTATTGAACTTTTCCAAGTAGGAGATTTTACCACCTTCAACTCTCCTATGAAATATGAACTTTCATTTCTACCAGGAGAACTTTTACAATCTTTTCTCCAATGCCTGATGTTTGTGTTTGTGCCCCAAATCTTGCAATTAAAGATTTTTTCTTTGCAAAAATCTAGTTGGTCTAATAAAAATGTCACCTCTACCATGAGTCCTGATTGCTTTTTCCTTTAGACCAATACGGCTACAATCTGGATACTTTACATATGAAAGATATTGAATTTTAGCTGCTTTTTTAATGAAATCTTCATAATTTTACAAGGAGGAAGCAACCTTGACCACCTGAAACCTGAGATACTGCTTCTGCCTTTGTTTGAGGTAATTTGCATCATAACAGAGCCTCACAACAGAGTTCAGAGACACCTTACCAGATAAGAAATGCCTGCCCAGAGGAGCATCCCATCTATTTACTCTGTGAAATATGAAACACCATAACCAGAAGGAAATATGAATACATCCTGCTTACCAACAAACGACTTTGAGGTAAACAGACTATTCCAACTTTTCTCTGAGCCTAATCTGCATATAAAATTAACTTTTCCAAACAGGAAATTTTACCAACTTCAACTCTTCAATGAAATATGAACTTTCATTTCTACCCAGGAGAACTTCTACAATCTTTGTTCCAATGTCTGATGAAGGGTGTTTGTGCTAGAAAGCTTGCAATTAAAGAATTAAAAGCATTCACACATTGTGTCTATCAGCATCCCCCGTGCTGAAAAACAGTGGCAGGGCACTTTGAACTAAAGCTCATTCATAGATGCTAGGGTCGGAAGGGACCTCAATAGATCATTGAGTCCGACCCCCTGCATAGGCAGGAAAGAGT